TCATTAGTATAAAAATCCATGTGCTGTATGCATGTGTATGGTGTGTACTCAACATCTACACTCATCAGTAAGTGTGGAGAAACATTCATATTTTCCCAAGCAGTAATAGTTGTTCATTTCTAGTTCTACACAATACCTCAATTGTATGACTATAGCCCACATTTTCTCTTCTGCTTTTGATAGTAATTATGTTTGCACCATTACAAATGGTTTCATTTTCATCATTCTGTTATACATTTCCTTGTTTTTGTGTACATAGGTATGAAATTCTTTTAGGCCTAATCATAGGAATTCAGTGTCCTGGATAAACATACATTTATGTCTTGTAGATAACTCTCAAGTTGCTTCTGAAGTAATTATATTGTTTATATTTCACTAATAGTTAGCAAGATTCTTAGTTATTTCACATTTCTACCAACAGTATCTGTTTTCAGATGCTTGAGGAGCCATTTTGCTGATCATGTAGTAGCATCTCATTGTGATTTTAATTTGCATCCTTGATGACTAAAAAGTTTTCAAACACTTTTATGTATTTGTTAATCCTTTGCCATATGTTCATTTTTAAGAAAGTGTTTGTTTGCAACTTCTGATAATTTTCTAATTTTATTGTTTATTTTATTATTAAGTTTGAGAACTCAATATTTTAAATACTAGTCCTTTGTTGTATATCATTTGGAAATATTTTCTCTCAGTCTGTAACTTATTGTATCATTCCCTTAACACAGTCTTTTGTGTCAAATCCATGATAGCCTAGGTCTCAAAGTTTTTCTCTTATTTTTCAAAAAGTTTTAGAGGTTTTTGCTTCAAATTGGAGCTGGGGACTCCTATGCATTTTGAGTTAGTTGTGTAACAGCTGTGAAGTTTCTCTTGAGTGTCCCTTCTGCCTCCCATCCCCAGGTGATGTTGGGTGCCAGGTAAAGGTGCCTACATTTTACTGTATCAGCTCTTTTCCATGCTGCTTTCAATGCTGAATCTGACTCTGAGATAAATCAAACAGAAGATATTATTAGAATCCAAAAGACTTAGACCACGAAGATATGTAAGGTTCTGCTGAGAGCAAAGGGGAAATGGTCAGCCTTTGAAGCAGACATAGAGGGCCTCCCACAGACAGGAGGGGGTTCTGCTGAGATGATACAGACAAGCCATGTAGCCTCGTCCTTCCTGTACATTTACCTGCTTGATTTTCTTCTATACTTCAAAGTCATTGTCCCCTCCGCTGGTGTACCATCTATCAGAAGGGTATGACACTATAGTGTAGTTATAGGCAACTATAGATCACCAGGTCAGAATCTATGGAGGCTTGGTAAATGGGAATCTGAATATAAAAATCACAGAATTATCTTTGCAGGAAATCTTTGTCAGTTATAACTATGCTTAAAATGTAAAATGCAAGCATATCGCTTAAAATGTTTCAAGTTCTTTATATCCTACCTTTCTCCTTTTTCATTTTGAATAGGAATCAATTTTCATATTGTCTGCCTTTCTATGTCACCTATGACACTCAAAACCTCCAATTTCCAACTCACCACAGAAGGTTTGACATGTCCCAAATGCTTTTCATAGGTCAGGCTGCCATCTCTTAGTGAAGTCCTGTTAAAGATGAGGCAACTTCCCTATGGCCTGGTTGCCTTGTTAGTCAATCAGCAGCCACAAGTCTGTTGTGAGCACATTGTAGTTTATTGAACATACTAGTATTATGTTTTGTAAGATAGAAAGAAGCTTTTTTGCTTATAGAGAGTAGATGTTACAACAAGTTGGATAATGGGTACTAAGAGCACAGAAACCTTTAAAATGCTTTAAAGAGAATGATTTAAAAAAACAGATACTGGCTTTGAAATGCTAGAGGAACAGAAATACTTGGGACACTCAATGATAATTCCAATTAGAGATTAACAAAATCATTGGAGATAGGTGTAGAGAAACCAGTGGCACAATGTGAAAAGCATAATCTACATACTTAGCTAAATGTCGAGGTATGGATCAAGTCTGACACACCCACTCCATGCTCATGCTGTGGCAGGCATGTGCCTTCTACAGAGACTGAGGGAACAAATCTCCAAATCTTCTTATGTTGGAGGTCCTGCCATCAGTCCCTAGCTTCCCTAACTTCTGGATTTTTTTTTTCAGATTCCTTTGTAATAATCTGCTTGGAGCCCAGGCAGAATCATTCATTCTAAAATATTTGCAAACCTCTGTCATCTTACCTTCTAAGTATTCCCTTAGCATTTTCTTTCTTCTCACAAAAATCACATTTTTCAGCAGAAATGTGATAAACATTATCTCAGAATGGGTTTCAAATTCCTTACGAAGAATTTCTGTAAAACCTTGGTAAGAGATGCCTGTCCTCTCTGCTCCCTACAAATGAATATTGAGCATCAGACCCAAGCCTAGGACAAGCAACATAGGCACCTAGAGAGTGACTTCAAGGAAGCACTCAAGTCAGGTAACAGCAAGACAGACAACTACAGGAACCAGAAGTGCGTGCCTCCTTAGACTTGCACTGTAGGTACCTAATCTTGCCTTATGCTATAGCGAGTCCTCTTGACTACCTTTTATTATTTATTTATTTATTTATTTATTTATTCTTGGTACTGGGGATCAAACTCAGTACCTTGCACTTGAGAGGCAGGCAGTGATACCACCGAGCTAAATCCCGGCCCTTGGCTACCTTTTATATGTACTCAAAAGTCAAGTACATACTAAAGATACATAATAGTTAGGTGCTCACATGCTCCTTGGAGAGACACAGTGGTGTTCTGTTAATTGCAACACAAGGTTATAAATGTTTTCAGAGAAATAAGCAATTTCACCAGGCATAAGGGTTGGAAAACATTTTTTAGAGGTATAATCAGGTAAATTAATCTATGATTTAAGATCAGGTTAGCCACAGAAATAAGGGTGGGAGATATAGTCTTCTCAGATTATAACTGGCCATTGGGATGATTTCCAACAATGAACTAGGACTTATAGAAATAGGGATCACATCTGAAGATTACAATGATACTTAGGAAAGTTTTCTCACCACGCCTCCTTTGAATCTCCTTTTCCGATGTTCTGCTGGGATCATCATTGCTCCCCAAGCTCTGTTCTGTTTTCTAGGACTCAGGTCCACAGAGAGAAACTGAAACACTGAGTCTTTTATTTTTCATGGACATTTTCTCTGTTCTCTTCATCCTATTTTATCAATATAAGCAATGACACAAAGGAGAGAAAACAATTTTTTTTGCAGGGGGGGCCAATCTAATGTACCCATTTATATGCCTTATAACAAAAATTGTAATCCTATTGTCCTTTATATTTGTTTTATAATGCTGGTCTCAGGAACAATGGAACTACAGGGAAATTAAGGAAAATTTATTTGATGTGAGATAAAGCCTCCTGAATTCGAGAGTAGGAAAGAGGGAATCATTCTAACTTGGACAATGGTCTTATCTTTTTGAGGTTATTAAATGATACCAAAATTCAGTTTGTCCATATCATGAAGACATTATAAGGCACAATTAAAGAGAACTGACAGATACATAGAGAGTTGTGGATCATTTTACATTTCATCCATAAACTTAAAACTCATCCATACATTGAATCAAAATTATATTTTATTAAAAATAATCTATGTGGAATTTTATGTAATTTATTATTATCTTTATGTTTGGGGGGGAGCACACTCTTGAAGCTATGAAAGAACAAACACAAACTTTACACTTAATAGAGACAGACACACAGCTACCTGGAATAAATAAAACATAAAACAAGACAAAATCAAACTAAGAGCAAAATTCATTGGGCTGATCAAATAAGATTTATTTTCCTGGAAACTGTTCTAAAGATTTCATTTTTATTTTCTCCAATGTACTCATAATTTGCAGAAATCATGGAAAATAAGAGAAGATGTGATTAGATTAGATTATTTTGAGTGTCAGTATGACAGTGCCCCTTTAGAGACATGGTACACTCACATGAAGTGATGTGACTTGTCAATGAGTAGCTCCTTCTATAATACTAGCATTTTATACCCTACATTATGCTCATGAGGATATTTTTATTCATTAAAATTTGTCATTTGAGTCATGGATGCTCAGTCTACACAGGGCTATAGAAGCACAAACCCTCACTGCACACTTAGAGAGTAAACTAAATCAACCTTGAAAAATATTTGGGTCCAGAAGAGATGATTCTTTCTTACAGTCAAGAGCATTTCTTCAGTTTTGTCACTTCTGCCTGACCAAACACATGAACAGTTAATTTTCAACTCTGACACTTTGCATACACCAGGAACATGCATCTAGTTTTATCTGTGATGCACTTCCAAATCAGACTGCTAATACTAATTTCCTATGCAAAAATACTTACTTCTGTCCAGCAGTATCTGAGGCAAATTAATCAAGACAATGGTTATCTGGATGAGGAATTCTATTTATTTTGATATGTTTTTTCTATTACTTGATAAATGTGTGTCAAAATTTTTATTGCACAGATATCTGTATATATATAATCCCTAGAATTACCATCCAAAATTGAAGATACAGTAAGGCAAATGTTTCACTTGGTGCAGATTTTCAGAAACAGCAACTAATCCCATATAAGCAAGAAAACCAGTTGTCTACATGAAGAAAAAATACCTTACTCCTACATAGGTGGGAGGCAATTCACTCAGAACACATAAAACATGATGGGTTTTGTCTAAAAAATTAGTGACCTATCCTACAGACCTGTGAACAATATATGTATCTATGTATTAGAGGTATAGGTCCATCAATAGTGTGAGTTACCTCCAGAAAAAGGTTAGTATCAGAGTTGGACACTGGAAATATGCATCTGTATTGTCCATATGTTTTGCCACATAGAAACCAGCAACAAATGACCAAAGTAAAGGGACACTCTAAATAGCAGATGCTTTCATTATTTTCCATTGAAATGCCTTTCACCAGTTGCTCCTGCTTACAAAGTGGTCAGCTTGTCCAGGTTCTAGGAGTTGTTTCTCACAGAGCAGTAAGGCCAAGTCATGCTCTAGAAAAAGGCAGAGAGAATAAACGAAGCATACCCATCTGAATTTGCTTGGTTTTAATGCTATAGATGACAGGGTTCATGAAAGGAGGGAAAAGGAAGTAGATGTAGCTCATTGTGATGTGAACCACGTGAGGAATGTGCTTTCCAAACCTATGAATAAAGGTCAGACCAACCACAGTGATGTAGAAGACCAAGATACAACAGATATGGGAAACACATGTGTTGAGGGCCTTGGCCCTTTCGACTCTAGAAGCAATGCCCATGACGGTCTTGAGAATCAAAACATAGGAGAAAAAGATGATGAAAAAGTCCAGTAGCACCATTGCAAATACGACCACGACTGGATAGAGACGATTGAATGTGATGTCAGCACAGGCGAGCTTAATGACATCTTGGTGTAGACAGAAAGCATGGGAGAGTACATGAGATCGACAATAGGGAAACCAGTGCAGGCGAATGATTATTGGCATGATGGATAGGCCAGCCCTAGTCAATACACCCAGTCCAATCTTCATGACCCTGGTGTCTGTGAGGATGGAGGTATATCTTAATGGCTTGCAGATGGCCATGAAACGGTCATAGGCCATGGCAAGCAAGACCCCCGACTCCACAATAGAAAGGGTATGGATAAAGTAGGCCTGAGAGAAGCAAGCCACATGGCCAATCTCCCTGTGATTTAACCACAGAACACCCAGCACTGTGGGCATTGTAGTCAATGTCACTCCAAGATCTGTAGCTGCCAACATGGCTAAGAAATAGTACATGGGCTCGTGGAGGTTGTGGTCATCCCTAACGAGGAAGAGTAGGGTGCCATTGCTGAGAATTATGGAGATGTAGGCCACCGATAAGGGGATGGAGATCCAGTGGTATGCCTGCTCCATTCTTGGGAATCCAGTAAGTAGGAATGAAGTAGTAGTATTGAGCCACATTGCCAGTGCTGCAAGGAAGAAATTATCTATTCAGGTAATGCAATAGTTTTTTAGAAGCAGAACCATGAGCATGCTACCTGCATGTGGGATGTTCACTAATTCTGCTTCCAGCAAGAGCAATGGAATTAATTTAGTCATTTCCTGAAGATTGAAAGGTATGGGAGAATTAAACATATAAAGAGCATATCTGTGTATTATTCAGAACTTGCTATATGTAAGTTAATTGGTGTATACACTACATAGAGATCAACATGTCCACACTATACTTTGTTGACATCCTTGTAAATCTAAGAACTTAGTAAAAGAAGATAAAACTTATTTCAGAAGTGGTATAATAGTGTTGGAACTTACTGTTTATTTTTAAGGTGCTCCTTGACTTGACTGGTGGTATAGAAAGTGGCTGCAAAGGTTTCCCAGATAACTCCCAGATCTAGAATATCAGTAGTAAAGAGATTCTAAACAGTGTTGGAAAAACAGGCATCATCTCCTAATGCAAAATATTTAAAGACATAATATATATAAATTGATATATATATAAAAGACACATAAATTTAGATATTGATTTACATTCAATATTTAGAAAGAAAATTAAAGTGATAGCTATCTACAGACTTTTTGAGAGGGTAAAAAATGACATAAGACCTAAGTGTGTGACTCTCCAAAAAGACCAATCTTCTATTATTTAGCATTGTAATAACTCAGCTCTGATGCACTGATTCAAAAACATGTTAAAATTTTCTAACATAGATACAAAGGTGAGCAATAAAAATGATTTTATGATATGGACTTAAAGGCAGTATTTGATAATACCACTGGACCAAGTACTATTGGATATCATCTATTTGGGGAAACAAAAATACAAATGGGTTGTTTAGGTAAGCTCAAATAGTATAGTTTTTAAAATCTGCAGACCCTGAAGGATATTAAACAGTTGAGAACACTGCATCTCATTAGAATTTTGTGAAATCATTGGTGTGGCCAGCCAAACTCTGGGAATTAATAAAATGTGTGTTGGTGACATTAACCAGAGGAAATAGCCTTCTATCTTGATTGGTATAAACTGTCCATCTCACATGCCTGACCCAAAGCACCACTTTTAGTTGAAAAAAAATGTCTGCAAGCTTACTGCACTTCCATGTTCAGAAGAATTGGTTGAATTTGCATCTTTGCTACTTTCTAACAATGGTGAACGTGGGAAACTAACTTAATCTTGGCATTCCTGTTTTGATCTGTAAATAGTACTAGTCATTTCTGCCTTACACAATTATGAATTTGACAAAAGAGAAGAGAGGAGAACTGCCAAAGAGGAAGTGTTTCATGACTAAATTGTTTTTTCTTTCTGAGTTTTTGTTATTGTTACAGAGATTGCAGTGGATACCAATCAGATTATTCACCCCGAGGTGTGTCCAATGACCCAATTTACTTAGAAAGCCTCTGAAACAGATGTAAAATCATGATGACATTTTGATAATACTGTGTTTGAGTGACAAAAGGAAAGGAGAGGAGAGGAGTGAGTGAGTATGAGAAACTCTGACATAGCTGAAGAAAAAAATGAACCTAGCATTTAGACTGAGGGAGGTTGGGGGAAAAATTGGTTCTCAAAGGATGAAAAAAGAATGAATAGCTAACTCCTGTCTGTCAGTGTATGGCTCAGAAAATATTCTGATTTGGTAAGGTGAAAGAAGCCATAATGGCAAATATATATTGTACATATCTGAAGTGATTAATGTGGTGTCTTGAAACAAGAAAGGATTGTGAGATGATTACCACCATCATGGAAATTATTATACCCATCATCTCCCAGGGTTACTTTTGGAGTAAAAATACTGACGATCTCCTCTTTGCAAATTTCAAATGTACTTTAACAATGCTTGGGAAACATAATGAAAATCATTCATCTAGGTAAGTGAGTTCTATAAATACTAAATAAACATACAATAAATGAATAAAGAAGAAAAAAGAGCAAAAGAATGGGAAAAGCCAGGCAGAAAGGGAAGATAGCTCTGGGTAGCAAATGTAGTAAATAAACCATTGTAGAGTCTCCATCAGGCATCTTGTGCAGATATGCTTTTCACTTCTTGAGCAGAATCTGTATAGCTTACTGGGACCATTTTCTAAATTCACAGTGATTATGAATAAAGGTGATCTGTGAATCACATGTCAGAATCTTTTTTGTAAACCGGAAAGACTTTAGCCATAGGTGAAATTTTTAATGCAGTCTAAATTTCTTTCTCCT